ATCTCCCCCTCCAATTTCCCCCCCTTCAAGAAGCTACTTGTTTATTTACACTTCCCACCTCTAAAAATAGCCTGAAAAGTTATGCTTAATTAGTACTTTATTTGGAAGTCAAGCAATAATAACACATCATGACTGTAATTAAACATCAATATTATGGTATTAATGTTTCTTATCTTTTTCTTTTTACAAGTTGCATGATATCTCTGAATCGGAATTTCTAACTGAGGCTGAGATCATTTGTGATGTTGTGTGCCTGGTATATGACGTCAGTAACCCCAGATCCTTTGAATACTGTGCTAGGATTTTTAAGGTTTGTTGTTCTTCTGGTCTGTAACTGTTGGTTTGGTCTGTAATTTTATATGGAGTTAAATGAAATTGTATAATGTGATGTTTTCTAACCAGGGAGAAGCAAGAAAATCACTTGTAGAGCTTTTAAAAAATACATATATTTGTCCCATCCGTAAAGGTTCTGGTTTCATTCTGAGGTGGTAGAGTCCTAGACATCTGTACTTTAAAAACATTTTTTTCCACATGTGACTCTGATGGGCACCCATAGTTAAGAACCTCTATATTAATGAAAGGTCTCCTTGGCCATTAGGAATGCACTTGGAGGGGCGCCTGACTGGCTCAGCCAGTGGAGCGCAAGACTCTTAATGTTGGGGTTGTGAGTTCGAGCCCACATTGGGTGTAGAAATTACTTAAAAATAAAATCTTAAAAAAAAAAAAAAGCAGTGCACATGACTTATATATTGCCAGTTACACCAATAATAATAATAGAGCAAGGGGAAAAACCAGAGGCTTGAGAAGTCCTCACTTTGAGATTATCACCAAAATGCAATAAGAGTTAAAAACTGTATGCACAAAGGAATTTATTCTAGCATTGTTTTTAATAAAAAAACTAGAAATAATCCAGATGCCTAACAATAAGAGGATGCTTTACTAAATTAGGACAAAAAGGGGGCGCCTGAGTGGCTCAGTCGTTAAGCATCTGCCTTCGGCTCAGGTCATGATCCCAGGGTCCTGGGGTCGAGCCCCGCATCAGGCTCCCTGCTCCGCGGGAAGCCTGCTTCTCCCTCTCCCACTCCCCCCGCTTGTGTTCCCTCTCTCGCTTTGTCTCTCGCTGTCAAATGAATAAAATAAATAAAATCTTTTAAAATTTAAAAAAAAGTAAAAATAAAAAGACAAAATAATACAGTGGAATATTAAGCAGCCATTAAAAATAATGGTTTTTGAATTCTGAAAACATGGAAGATTAAGTATTATATTTTTAAATGGCTATGTCCAGCATGGCTGCAGCTATAGAAATGTACATAAATGCATGTGCTTAAGGACAAATGATATGAAAAATGAAAATAGTGAACAGGGCGCCTGGGTGGCTCAGTTGGTTAAGCGACTGCCTTCGGCTCAGGTCATGATCCTGGAGTCCC